TCTTGCTTATCCTGTGGCTTTGCAGAATATAAAATCTAGTAGGAGAAATTGTAGTCTCTATGCATTTTCTGGAGTAGTTTGAGAAAATTCTGACCCCCCCCCCATTAATTAATTGTGTTTCCAAAATACTTCAGCCTTCCTGCTTGGCAGATGGAGCCACTTGTAATTCTGACGCAGCTCCTGAATTTCTGTTGAAATTTGAGACTAGGGAAAGAAGAGAAATCCTGCTGTTTGCAAAGACATCAAGTGGAGATCTCAGTAGCCAGCAGTCCTTAAGTAGGCTCTCCATATAGCAGCACTAAGTCCTGAAGGACTTACACAGTCTGTACTGTTTCCTGATACCACTACTTGTTAGGACATTTTTTTGGTCTTTTTGAGACAGGGTCTCCCTGTAGCTCCAGCTTTTCTGGAACTCACTATGTAGACCGGCTGGCCTTGAACTCACAGAAATCCACCTGCCTCTGCCTCCTGAGTGCTGGGATTAAAGGCATGTGCCACCATGCCTGACAGGACATTTTTTTAATCTTTGAAGAAAATATATTGATATATTCCCTCATTGTTTATAATCTGTCTCCCTTCTGCTGATCTTATTTACAGATCAAAGATCTTAATTAAATCTACAGAATCAATGGCACTATTAAAGAGATATTTATGAAAAATGGGTGAGGTCTGAGTCAGGAGAAAAATATAGCAAAAAGCATAGGGTAAGCATCCTTTTTAAAATAGGCCTAAATGTAGTTCTGAGCCTCTCAATAGTTATGGTAGGATAGAAAATAGCAAGAATTAAATTACAACCTTGAAATACTTTCAAATCACTTAGCTGAAATTTCTTTGGTCAAAGAAAATGTGACAAATGATGGCATCAGCAGTGTGCCTGCTTCCAGACTGGGAAAAGAGTCAAAAGCCACCCTTGGAAGCGAGAATGGGCCTTTGTTCCTTGGTTTGAAAGATGCTACAGCTTCAAAAATGCTACAGCCTGACTTCATATTTTACTTTAGTTATTTAAAAATATCACTCATGGAAGTGGCATCTTTCTATCCTTTCCATACAGAAGGCTGCTTAGTAAGTACAAAAGCTACAGACGAGTTACATGGCTTAGTAAATGTCTTTATATATATATAACCCTCCAAGTTTATCATCTGCACCTAACCGGAATACAACTGAGACTCAGAGAAGTAAGTTCATTACCAACTTGTTGGTGGCAAAACTGAAATGAAACTAGACTTCCCAGAGCATCAGAGCTTTTTCTGTTATACCATGAGCCAACAATTATTTTCTGGTGTCTTAGTTGAAGATGCTATAACAAGATACCATAGATTGGGTAACATAAACAGGTTCTTATAGTTCTACAGTCTGGAGGTCTAAGATCTGGGTACCAGCATGGTCAGGTTCTGGTCTCTGGGTTGCAGATGACTAATCTCTAATTATGTCTTCACACTGTAGAAAAAAAACAATCATCTTTTCACTCTCTCATGAAGGCATGCATCCCATTTATGAGGACTCCACTACTATTATTTAATGACATCTCACCAGATCCATGGCCAAATATTATCACATTGCAGATTTTGGTTTCATACATGCATTTGGGATGGGACTACAAACATTCAGTCTATAACAGCTGGGTGCCATGGTTACCAGTTAGGTAGTACCTCTGATGGATACTGAAGTTCCAGACAATAGTCAGCAATGCACTGAACTTACAGGGGGAATAATTGTGTGGGCAAGCATGTCAGTGAGTATGCATTATAAAACTGAATGATTATCAAAATTTAATGTTCCATTCTTCCTTGAATTTGGCACCAATCCCATTTTACAGAGTAGGTGTTGTTATGCTTTTGATTAAGGCTCAGAAAAGATTCAAACTGTGATGATTGGTAGTTAGTAATAGAGAATAGCTCACAGCTATGATTTTTTTGTGTATGTAATGAGTGCTATCTTCAGTGCAGATTCATGACCATTATTCTCTCTTCCTTGAAAAGTTCTTTTGGGATGACAACTTAAAACAAACAAACAAACAAACAAACAAAAAGAAAAACCCAACCCTTTGACTTTTATTGTCTGGAACTAGATGTTATATTGAACTACTGCAAGTTTTATTCATGGCTCTCTCTCAGGAATGAGTATTTGTACTTATGCATGGGGCAAAGCTCCATCACATCTCCAAGCAGGGCTGGTCACTGATCAATGGCTTCACCGAGAAAGCTAGAGATGGAAAGGGAACAGACTGAGACTGACTCCTATACAATACAGATCTGGAGCTTGACGGTAAAGGAGCATCATTGCTGCTTACAGTGCCCAATCCCGATGGGCAGTCTTGCCAGATGGGAACTCTGATCTAGAAAGAATGGGGGAAAGTGCACATGTTGAATGGACATAAGGTAATGTAAGAAATGCTGTCTTGGTGAAGCCCTTCTGAAATCCCATATTCTCCATGTCAGAGATCTCTATCTGGTATCACCTCCGCCTTGTCTCTCCCCATCATTAGGTATGCTCTGAGATGCGTATGACCTTTGTATAGTGAGCTCTGTGAGGAAGAGTTTTGCATCTTTGTCTTTAGGAGCAGGCTACCCTAATAACGCTGAATGTTCTGAAATTTCAATATAAATTTGCTATTCATCTGCTGTTAATACCATGGTACATTTCCTTTTTTCTTTGTCTCTGTCTCCTTCTCCAGGTAACATCTAAGTTAATGAGCTGATTCGACATCAACTGACGTAATGATACTTAGCATATGAGAACTCTGTTATTAATGATAGGTGCTAACTCAAGTATCACAGGCTCTGCTTAAAGAAGACTTTACTTTTTCCCTGGCAATTTCCTTTGTTGTTTTTGTGTGAAGATATTATGATTTATATTTTGAAGATTTTAATAATCCTAAACCAAAGATCTTGTAGAAACAAAATCCTCTTGTGCAAATAACAAAAACAAAATACTGAAGACTAGTGTTTTTGGATAAAATAAATAAACCTTATTAGAATTCATTTAAAGACTTTCCCCCACTCCTTTGGAAGAAAAAGAAAAGGAAGCGAATTCAGTGTTTTCCAGTTCTAAAATTCCAATTCCTTAGTCTAGTATTCACATAGACTAGCTGAAATTGTAAGTTTTTCCATGAATCCACTTTTTTAAAGTAAATTGTAGTCAGCTACAGTCAGAAACATTTTTATTAGTTTTTTTAAAATAATAGTTTTATTGATTGAGGTTTTCATATGTATATGTATTTTGGTCATATTCAGATCCCCTCCCCTATATCCAACACATCTACCCCTGCTTCCCTACCCCGTCACTTCATGAGGTCCTCTATTATTATTATTAAAGGCTCTGACTCTAATTCATGTTCCCTAAATGCTTTTAGGAGTGGGTCTATCCATGGGAGCCTGGTAACTTACCCAGCATCACACCCTTTCTTTTTTAAAGAAAACCGAATCTCATTCTCCCAGCAGGTATCAAATGCCCATAGTACCTTGGCTAGGCCTGGGGCTTCTTGCCTACCTCCCCATCCATGCTGAGTTTTTGTCTGGCTTGGGCTTATGTAGGTATTGGGCATGTGGGTTCACATGTGCAACTCCCTTGTTGTGTCTGGAAAACGCAGTTTCCTTATATTCAACCACCATCTCTGGCTCTTGCAATCTTTCCCCATCTTCCTCAATGATCTCTGAGCCTTAGGAGGAGGAGGTGTGGTATAGGTATCCCACTTAGGGTCAAGCACCCTGCGGTCTCTTATTTTCTTCATGTTGACCAGTTGTGACTCTGTATTAATTGCCATCTGCTGCAAGAAGCTTCTTTGATGAGAGTTGAGAGATGCATTAATCTATGGTATAACAGTAAGTTATTAAGAGTCAGTTTAATACTATGTCCATTTGGCATGATAATAGTAGTATGATTTCTCCTATGGCCCATGACATGCCTAGCAACAAGTTCTTGACCCTAATAACAGTGCCAAGTATGGGTTCCATCTTGTGAAGCAGACCATAAATCCAATCAGAAAGTGTTTGGTTACTCCCATATCAATCATGCCACTGTTCCACCTGTGAACCTATCTTGTCAGGCCAGTTGTTATTGTACCTCACAGGGTTCACAGCTGGACTAGGTTAGTGATTACCTTGTTTTTTCTTTCTACCAGCTTGATTTCTCCATGTCTGTTCTATGGCCCACGTATGTAGTATGTTAAGCAATAGGGTCTTCCCATCAAGTTCTGGCAGGTAACCAAGAGAAGACAATAGCCAGAATCATTTGAGGGTCTATGAGAACTCTCTTGTCAATAATTCCAAAAGCAGGTGTCCATTCCTGACACTGGGCTTTTTATTTGAGAGTTTGTGGTCTTGTCCCCCTTTAGGAGGTAACTCCATTTTATTCCTCTCTTCTTCTTTATATTGCTAAGTTCTATGTCTGTTCTGAGGAAGCTCCCGCTCTGTGACTCCTAACTAGTTTCCTGACTTCTATGGATTTCCCAACTGAAACACCCATACCAAAAGATTCAAAGCTAGCACTCACATATGAGACAGAATATGTGATGGGTCTGGATTACCTCACTGAGTATGATTGTTTTCAGTTCCATCCATTTACCTGTGAATTATATAATTTTGAATTTCTTAACAGCTGAATAATACTCCATTGTGTAAATGTACCATATTTTCATTATCCATTCATCAGTTGATGGACATCTAGGGTATTTCCACTTCCTGACTATTGTAAATAGAGCAGCAATGAACGTGGATGAGAAGGTATCTCTACAGTTATGTGGTTATATGCTCAAGAATGATATGACTGGATCATGTGATAGATTCATTTCTAACTTGTTGAGGAAACTCCACACTGATTTCCACAGTAGCTACACCAGGAGTGAACATGTTTTACCCTTTCCCCACATCCTTACCAGCATTTGTCATCATTTATTGTTTGAATCTTAGCTATTCTGATTGAGGCATGGATGAAATCTCAGAGTAGTTTCAATTTACATTTCCCTGATAAATAAAGAAGTTGAATATTAAAAAAAAATTCTCATACTTACCTGGCAGGGGAAATCCCATGATCAAGAAGGTGGTTTTCCCAGGGCGAGGTTTATCTGTTGCACTCCAGATGTGCTGACCCCTGCAATTTCCCCAAATGTGGGAAACACGACTGCATAATTTGTGGTAGTGGGTGATTGAGTTCATTCTCTCCCCTGAATTAAAAAAAAAAAAAATTCTCAATCATTTGCCTTTCATTTTGTGAGCACTCTACTTAGTTACTTATTTCAATTTCTAATCGAATTATTAGTGGTTTTTTTAAACTTTTTTTTAGTTCTAGATACTATGTTCTAGATACTAACCTTGTGTTAGATGTATAGCTGGTAAAGATTTTTTTGCATCTAGGAAACATTTTAATAAGCAAAGTTGAAGCTGATAATGTTATAAAGTACTACAAGTTTTTCCACAAGTTTTTTAAATTCCTGAAGTGGTAGAACCTACCAGGAACTCAGGTGTGATTTGTGCATCTTGTGACTTCTATTTTCCTATGAGATGAGATTTCTTACTGCTGAAGCCTGAGAATGCATGTTTAAGACTTTATGAATGGAATGCTTTGAGAATTTGTTTCTCCTGTTCCCCCTTAATTCTGCTTGTTTTTGAACAGTCCCTTAGAGTTACTGTTGAAGTATAATGCAGCAGCCTGATGGGGAGGACATTTTGATGTCTAATAAGTGCCTATAAGAGTTATACCAGGATCCTCTGAAGTCTTAAAATTTTGCTTCTACTCATAGCATGGAAATTTGGGAAGAAGCTAAGAAACATTTTTCTTTTCTGCCTAATGAATACCCTAAAGTAGTGAAGTATATTAGTCACCAAAGATTGTTGTATAGCTCAAAGAGATTTAAATTTTTCCTTCCAAACTACCTTCTTTTAATAATAAAGCCAGCCTCTTGTGAGAAAGATTTAAAAATCTGAGTTAATAAATTGCTAAGATACCTTGCTACAGGATTCTTTCTTTTGAGCTGCTGAAAGGAAAACCCTGATCATCAGATTCTTGCATTTAATGGTATTCTAACTCTGGTTAAAGCATCCCATTGATGCCCTGATGCTTTCATTGTGGCTTAATAGAGCCTTTGAAAAGTGAAAATAGTCTTCAGAACTCTGATTGCTTCCACACTAACACTCCTGTTTGTTTTCCCAAAACACCATTTTAAAGGACCTTCTTCTGTCTATTTTATTTAATAGATTTACTGGGAATTTTTTGAACATGTATAGGAAAATCACAAAAATCCAATGAATAATTTAGGAACCTATCTCTAAGCAACTAGGTAGCTCTTAGAGTTAATGTTTGGAAAGGCAGAGCTCTGTTAAATATGGTATGACATAAACAAGGTTTCTTTTCACTAATAGTGTTTCTTTGGGAAACAGGACTGACAGCAATCAGGAAAAGATGTTGCTGAGGAGCCTGTAGCTGCTATGTTGGTGGTTAGTCTAAAATGAGAGGAGAATGGGGCAAGTGAAGGTGTGAGATTTCCAGTCAACACCAGCAAAATCTAGGGAGGAGGAGGTACATCTTTTCTATTTTGAGAGATGTTACTAAGCTCTTCAACTGCTGGTGCTTTCAGAGTGTGTCTGAATTACTTTATTTTTTTTAGGCCCACCTCCTCTCCTCCCATTGCAAAGGTAGGATTAAAAGAATGACTAGACTCAGAGGTCAAGAGGAGAGTGAGTCAGAGTGAACTGCCCTGAGCGAGCATGTCTACATGTTCAGGACATCAAGAGGGGATGAGAGTGTGTGGATACTGAAATTTTCATACACTGCTAGTGGGATTACAAACGGCACCTCCACTTAAGGACACAAGTTAGAAGTTTCCACCCAACCCAGAATTTCTACTTTACTACAAGAGTACTCAGTGCCAAACATTAGCGGTACCCCCACATCTATGGGCAACTTTGAAGCAGTCAAAAGAATGGAAATAATCTTGAGCACATTGACAGATTTCCAGTATGCGTTGTGTACCCCAAAAAGCAGAAACAAATATATATCTTTTATGAAATGCTGTATTGTTGTGGCGACATTTATATGCAATAGTGTACACATGTGAATGTATTTACACATTTGTGCTGTATGTAAAGAAGCAAACCTCTGGGATGGGGTAAGAAGGAGCAAGAAAGTATGCATTCATGCACTGCTGAGCTAATTTGATGTTTAAAACAAGAACTGTTTTTATGGAGGGCCTGGATGGTTTGTGGGGCCAGGAAAAGTTGAAATCTATCACTGTGTTTTAGAGAAAAGACAACTAGATTTATAGGTACTAGGAGTTAATTCCATTCAGCCACTGAGCTTGCTTGTCTGCCCTAGTTTTCTTTCCTGTTTGGCAACTTGTAAAATCCTGGCTCTTGTTTAACTCCTGAGTGCATCACAAATATTAATTATGCTGTTTCTGGTGGGAATAAGTCCATGTTCCCTTCATGGCTGAATAGTTTTTTAGAGAAAGCCAAGATGAGTGTCAAGCAGGAGTTTGTGAGGATCATAAAAATCACAGGCACTGCTGTAAAAAGATGACTAGTACAGTGGGAAAAAACCAGGTGTCTGCATTTGGTTAAAAAGAACAACTTGGTATCTTGGGAGCTCACAGATATTATTGAACTATGTAAATGTAGTTTTCAAAACAGCACACCTACATTTAACCTGCCAGCTTTCATCCTGTGGAGTCATCATCTGTTTGAGGAAAACTGCTGTTCCAAGACTTTTCCTTTCCTAAGATGCCCAGTCCTGAGCTTTGCAGCAATGCCACATTTAAGTCATATTTGCAGATGACAAGAAGCTAGTCTTGAGATAAAGTCAGCTATGTTTTCCAGCAGTTTTTGACTATGGGAATAATTTATGTTCTATTCGATCTGAAGCTTTCTAGTCCTAGTAATTCTACACCAAATTAATTAGATTTTTTTTAGTGTCTACTTTATATAGAGTGAAGATAGAACAAAAAGTCAACTGAATCAAACTCTTTGACCTAAATTGATCCAGCCTTACAATGCTGGAAATAATGTCCACTGTTTTAGCTGCATCAAATTAGTTTATTGATTAACCTTTGTATTCATTGCCTTAAACCTCTATTGACCTTTTTAGCCACTAGTGTTTGGTTCATACAAACATTTTGTAGGAAGATAAAGTGAGACCCTCCAAATCACTGATCTATGCTTATATGGCTATATTTTATATTACATAAACTGAGGTATATACTCTTTGCTAATGTGTGCTGAACATTAAATTGCCAACTGGACTTGAACCCTGGAACCCCACTTACTGTCTCCCACAAGAAATCCATTGTGTTCTGTCACACACAGCACCCTTGTATAATGAATATGGATGTCAGTATCAAATGTTATAAATGTCTCCTAAATCCTTTATTTAATTAGTGGAGTAATTTGTCATTGGATTTGCATCTAAAGCTTTCTTGGTCATTCATAATTTCATTTAATAAGTATGTATTAACTGCACCAAAGTGGGCAGATACACTAACAAGGAAGTAAGAGGCATTAAAGATGATAGATGTGTAAGTAAATAAATACAGAAGTGGATGTATGAATAGGGGTAAAGAATGGTAAAGATGAGCAAAAACCAAATTACTGGGTTTTTTTTTTATGTCTTTGGGGTTTCACATGACTATGCACTAAAAAAATTACTTCTGCAATAATACATATATATGAAAACATCACAGTGAAATCCATCAAAATTACTTCCACAAAACTAAAACATGTGAGAAAACAGCTTACTCAGTACCTAGCACATTGCAAATTGAGACATTCAGCTACTTTCTTCTTCCTCTCAAGGTTTTAGATTCTTCCTTCCACAAAGAAGGTTAACTTTTCAATACATTTGGATAAATCCATGGATTCCAGTCACATTCCCTTTCCAATCCAACCTTCCATGTAGGACAACTCTCAAATATAAGGTAACCTCATTGGTCATTCCTCACCCCACTGATCATTACATTTAATCTGTTTTTGTCCTTTCCGTCCCCAGTACATTTCTCCAAGTGTAACCATTTGAACTGCACACAGTGTTCCAAGCACAGAAGCACTCTGATTCTCCAAAATCCCAGGATAATATTTTATACCATCTCTTATGGCTGTTGACATTTTGTTGGCCATTTTTATAGGTAATAGCATAGAGGGTCAATCTCTTCTTCAAAAACAGTGGTCATAAGGAATTCTTTTCTAAGTAAAGTCTGAGAGAAAGCCCATCATACATCCAATAGGATGTAAATTATCTCTCCAGTGAAAATGAGTTCTTGAATTTTCTCACAGTGAAATTTGCCATTGTTTGTTGATTGCTTGCCAGCCATGACTTCAGAAGTTTGCTCTGTAAATCACCTCCAGTGACTTGGCTGTTTATGGATCATATCAGCTGCAACAGTGCTTGTCGTTTACACATTTAAAGATTTCAAAGTATGCTTACTCCAGAGATGTTAGAACTCAGTTGAATTTGTTTATTCTTCCCCATATCTCCACATCTCTAAAACTATCCTCTTTCAATAATAGAAGTCAACACTGGCCAGTTTCATTGCAACCTTTTAAAAATAGTTTGTAGAATATTGGAAATTTTATAAATATTTGATTCACATAAAATAGTACCTATATGTAAGGTAGAAAAATAAAACTAAAGTGAACACTCAAACACCTAACTGCTAGCTGATTCAAAAGAGAATTACCAGTAACTCCCTGCTTGTATTTCTCTCCTTCCTCTGTAGAGATTGCCACTATCTAAACTTTATCATTCTCTTGTGTCCTTCCTGGGCTTGCTGTATAGGCATGTTTCTTAGGCAGCAGTAAGCTTGTTTACATTAGCTTGTTTCGTTTTTTAATTACATGGATGTGTCATATTCCATATATTATTCTGGAAATTATTTTTTGCAATATTATATTTCATTTATACTAATATACATAGTTATCATCTTTTCAGCTCCATAGTGTTCCACTGCAGATATTTATCACAATGTATTTGTACTGTCAGTTGATAGTTTGGTGTTTGTATTTATATGTGTATGGTTTTTCATACCATGCTGTTATAAGCATTCTTATTCCTTGAATATCATCTAGAAAACAAAAAATACCCAATAATGAAAATACAGGAACCAAAGAACCCCTTAGATAAACACTGCTGATTGGAAAGTAAATTGATCCCAGCACCATAGAAATCAGTATGGAGATTCTT